GGTCCGGGATTTTTCCAGGTACTACACTAGTTGGGTCCGGGATTTACGCAGGTACTACACTAGTTGGGTCCGGGATTTACGCAGGTACTACACTAGTTGGATCCGGAATTTTCACACGTACAACAATAGTTGAGGTCTTAATTTTTTTTTTTTTGAGTACTACATAAGTTTATTTTCCTTCCCTTTTTAACAGACTTATGACTGTTAATTTAGACCAAAGTTATGGTTAAAAATGTTTTTTACAATTTATTTTTTTAGTTTATTTGCCATTAAAAATATAAATTATTAGAATTTTATTTGAATAATAAATGGCAATAACATGCAGGTACTAAACAAAGAAAAATATTAAAATTGTTAAAAATCAAATATAAAAAATACATAGGTATTGTATAATATAAATAAAATATTGTTTAAAAGAAATCACACGTGTATTGTTAAAAATTTTTAAGACATTCATTTTGCAAAATCAAATCGATTTATTATTCCTGCATTTTTTGATTCATTTTGTTTTTTATAAATTTTGATAAATTGATCGTTGGAATATTTAAAAAAAATGACTTACATGATCTCTGAATGCATCTCCATCGTTCAATATCATTTTTCGTTTGGATTGTATATTTACTTAAAATAATCTCAGACCCAACTAGTGTGGTACCCAAAAATATCCTGGACCCAACTAGTGTAGTACCTAAAAAAATCCAGGACCCAACTAGTGTAGTACCTGTGATTTATCCCTAGTACTCGGGACCCAACTCGGATGCGCCGATAATAATATATTCAAATAAAACATTTATGAAAGCTATAAAATTTAAAATTTTCCCCGTCATTTTTTTTAGATCCCACTTGACAGGAGGGGCACGTGCCCCTGTGCCCCCCCCACCCCTGGATCTGCCACTGGCGACATGTAACTAGATATAATACATGCTATCACGTGGACCTCAGGACTCCGCCGATCGATGACCTGTACGGAAGTCGCACACACTCTCCCCTCCTATAATACTTATGGCTTAGATATAATAATTATAAAGTTCTTATAATCACCAACGATCTCCATACCTTTAACTAAATACCTAGAGTATCGGTCACTCATTCGCTATCTGCTCATATGTGACCCCCCTGTCACCTGTCGTCTGTTCGTACCACCCAAGATCGCCGGGTATCGGCCGACAGAGCAAGAAGCCAGCACTACCTACACTTTTTCCAGCATCGTCGAAAACAAAAACATTAGCGAGTAGCAGCGGTTTTTTGCTGGTACAACACATTATTAACTTTTAAATGTTTTGTATATTACTATTATTCTCACCGTGACCGGTACTTTAGTGTATTATTGTTTCTTATTATTATTATTGAAAATATGGTATCTTATGCCTATTTCGCCCGCCGGTGAACCGCTCAGTCGGAACCGTGCGATGAGTGTGATTTTATATTTATAATTAAATGGTATTTTGTATATTATTATTATTGATAAATTCATACCCTTATTATTATTACCTTCTGACCGAGTTTTATGCCAGTCGGTTTTCTCGGCACCAACTTAAGTGATTAATGAAATAAACATAATATATTATATATTTTGCCCGAAATTGAAGTTTTTCTTATTTCATTGATGATCACCCTTCATATTACTGGTCCAAATGTATCCTGTTCTCATCATTATTATTATTAAAAAATCCACGGCACTCCGGCTTTCTGGTCTCGGTCCGTGGTTGGTGACCGTGAAATGTTTAAGGCGGCCACATGACTGTCGATAACATGAGCAATATGTTCGAGCAGTCACATCTTAATTAATCAAGTATCAAAATAAAATTGATTTTGTGTACCAAGTACCTACTGGCTACTAATATAGTAGTGTGTCCTATAATATGTATGATGTACCTATGCAAAACAATTTACATATTATTTTGTTTTTAAATGTCACTTATTTTTATTTTATTTCTATGGCGACTAGCTGCTCTAAATATTAATTTTGACGTCAGTAGGTACAATATAAAGAAATTATAAATATGTTATATGAAAATGAGACTTAGAAAAAAAAAACTCAGTACAGATATGTAGCAATGTAAATAATAACATAGCACTGAAAGGGTTAAATATGTCGTTAAGATTTTATGTTAATAATTATTTTACGTTTTTTGTAATTACAAAAATATTAATATAAGTATATTATCATGTATTTTCTCGAATTCTGAAATATTATTAAACATTGACTTACATTTTCATGAAAAATGTATTGGAAAAATTCTGGTTGTGCCACTGATTGGAATAATGTGCTGTGTAAATTTAGTTTCAGATGTCTAAATGTTCATCATGTTACTTTAAGGCATTTGTTTATAAGCTTATGTCTTTTAAAAGGATTTTTTTTAAGTAAACTTATAATATATACCAATTAGTTATATTAGGATGTTTTAAAACTACAAAATAATTTGTAATTTTTACGAACTTTTTCAAAATTTGAACTTAAATTTCTTATAAAAAAAAATGTTGCCTATGTATTTTTAATATTTTTATGTGTTATTGACGTCCATGAACTTGGCCCACCCACTTTACCCAATCCACTTCAGATGTATGGCAAAAAATAGTGAATAAATATCAAGTAATATACCAAGTTAGTTTTCAAAATAAGCAAGTCCTTTTAACATTTTATATGATTGATTTTTAATCAACATTTTAATAAACATTTTTAGGGGAATACCTAGATCGGTTAAGAAATTGAAGAATAGATAAGATTTATTTAAAAAAATTAATGTTTGTTCGTATACTTTTTTATTTTATAACTAGTTTTTTATTATAATAGTTAGTACAAGAACTTAGTAGATTATGTATGTTGCCGCCGCAACATAATTAAATAATATTATATACGCATCATTTAAATTATTATTATATCATTGTCGGGCAGCGAGGATAGCCGGTCACACACACACACACACACACACACACACACACACACACACACACTATCACCTGTTGTCATAATATTTATTTTTGTATGTACCTATTTAAATGTCTTGTGAGTTATATAATATGTAGATTAAATGATATCGTGCCGCCGCTCCGTCTACGCGGATTTTTACTTATCACGGCCGCCGTGACACTGTCTTCCTTTGTCCGTCTCGTATAAAACGTCGCTAGCACGGTGTGTGCAAACAAAAAATATATTTATTATTTTCAATAATTGTTAAATTAGTTAGTGCAAATATTGTTTTTTATTATAATTATTAGCGCCAGAAGGGCCTACTTCAATTGTAACAAATTAAATTATTATATTACATTTTCTGTGCGACACTATAGTATTGTTATTTATTACTGTCGTAATAAGCGCAATCGTCAGTTTTATAATATTATACTCATTAGCAGTTACCTATTTTTTTGTAACACTTTAAAGAATTGTACTCTGTTATCGTATGTGTTTTTTTTGTGTTTTAATACCTATAGCTCAGGAGCAACTGGCCAGTCTGCGCTCCACAAACTACTGTGAGTTATTTTATTATATTTATTATATTTTTGTTACAATTATCATTATATTCTGTCGTGCCAGAAAGGCGCATAGTACTATTATATTATTATTCTGCTAGGTCATAAGGACCGCATATTATTATTATTTTTATATTTAATAACTGCAATTTTACAAAACATTATATTTATATTTTGTTTGGCCATAAGGGCCGCACATTATTTTGCACGCATTATTTTATATATTATTACTATTATGTTGAGCCAGAAGGGCTAATCTTTTTATATTTTCACATAGCTCTTATAGCTTCTGTGAATTAAACCTTTATTTTTATTATCTATTATATTGCTGTGAATTTTATAATATATATCATTTAGTATCATTTATGCTTATACTGAAATTCAGCTTTAATAGCTGCCATCATATTAAATTGTTATTTGTTTGGCCATAAGGGCTGGGCATTTATATATACCTTTTTTCTGTCGGGCCAGAAGGGCCACAATATATTATATACTATTATAGCCATAAGGGCTTTGATTTATTATTTATATTATATTTTTATACCTACTGTGTTGCTGTGATTTTTTATATATTTGTACCATTATTATTTAGATTTTGTATTATACAGCAACTAGTTAGTTACCAGCAATCGTGTTACCATTTTTTTTATCTTAGTTTAATTATTGTACACACACCCACATATATACACACATATGACATAACACACAAACAATACACATAAATACACTACACGCATTACGTAGCTCGACAGTATTTGCCCGGCAATCCCGACCACTGCTGTTCGAGCTATTACACCACTACACACCCAGCTAGTCCTCGTATATTTAAGACCTGTCCTAGGTGTTAGTGGTCAACAATTAGGTGTCCGGGGTGCGCATACTATTATTATATGCTATCGGCCCGTCCAATGTATAAATGACTAATATAAGCTGTTACGCATAACACCAAAAGAAAAAAAAATAATTAATTAATTCAAAAAATTCAAAACAATAAAAACTAAATGAAAATAATATAATAAATATATTATTTTCAAAACATTAATTAGCTTGGCGGGCCCGTATAGACTCTATACCATATTATAATAATATTATAATAGTTATAACATCATATATTTTGGAAATATATTTATAATAAGTATTACGTGACAAATACATGATATGCTATTAGGAGTAACTTTATATTATCTACAATCTACAAAATGTTATTATTATTTTACTTATTTTATCAAATTAAACACATTTCTAACAACATAATCATTTGGTATATATAAAATCCATTAACTGATGGAGTTATTTAAAAAACAGTCTAATGGATGTATTAAATTACACAGATGACCTACATTGTAAAATTATAATATTATGTTGCTTTTTTTGGTCGCCGGGAGTACTCGTACTGCTGTACATAATACTTGTTTGTTTTTTGGGCTTAGCACAACAAAAAAGTTGACGCAACGTCGCGTCCGTTTGCCACCACCGTGTGCAGTGTCCCGGCAGAACCAACGGATACGGACGAAGTGTCAATTGTTGTGCTAAGCCGTCGTTCCTTTCCATGCAGTTGGCTCGTACCTGTCCGCCGGTCGTCGTGTTTGCGTGCCGTCCTTTTGAGGAATATCTGACGCGAACATAGCCTCTGCGCTTATCGTTGTAATATGTTCGGCCGACGTAAACCTCGCGATTGAGTTGTAGTCGTAGTTGGTGTTGGTTGTTTTAGTGTTTTCGGCTCCACCATTATCGTTGCTGAGCATTTTCGATTGTTCGCTCGCCGGTTGTGCGCAAATTGGTAAGTCACTGTACCTCGTATGTTCGACTACTGAAAACCTCGTGGTCGAGCCGTTACGCGTTCATAGTTCGTCGTCTATAGGTCTACAAGTGAGTTGACCTACCTAAAGTACCAAGCTAAGTACCTTAGCTGTCACCGTTCCAGCGGGGAACACGTATGTACTAATAATAAGTACTCCAATACTTCTCAAGCAAGGGGCCCGACAAATGTGAGTGGAGCGGTCGTGGGCGATCAGGTTTCCATTGGTTTTTACGTTATTGTCTAATTTTTTATTAGAGCGAGCCAGTAGCCGTCGAAATTAATTTGTGGTCTTACCAAGACTAATAATTGTCAGGGCCGGATTGGTAGGTACATGTATCGGCCCATAGAGATTTTCACTTCTACGCGGTCCATTTAAATATTCACTGTCCCAAAATTACTTCGAAAATTGTTATGAGCTGATAAGTGACCAATCGTATTTTAAAGAAGAATTTTTTTCACTTACGCTCGCACGACCGGCCCCAAACTTTAAGCGGCCCACCGAGATTTTCTCGGTAGCTCGCCTAACCAATCCGGCTCTGTTAATTGTGTATACTATATTATTAATATTGTTATAATTTATTCATTTATTATTTGAGGCACCCTATATATATATATATTACTTATGCACTTGTATGATTGTTTATAATACCATTTAGTAATGCATATTGCGCATATATTTCTATAATTATAGTTTACTTATTTTTTTTTTTATTGGGTAATTTTTCTTTCAGCCTCAACACATCTCGAGTCGTATACGATAACCACGAATACCAAAAGTATTATCGGACTTGGCGTCAACAATATTTGAGTTGCATATTTCATTAAATTTCTTAGAAACGAATACATTTTTCAATGATAATTTTATTTGTTTTAGTATTTTCGTTGCAAATTGATTGCAGTTCTCTGTGATAACTGACAAATTGTAAGCTGTAGATGTCAATCGCTTAAAAAATAAAACGTGGACATTTTGTACTATAATATATAATATACATGTAACTTAAACATTAAGTATGCATATACTAAATAATAGGAATACGATATACCTACCTATAAAGTATTTTTTTTAACCGCTCGTAATAAATATTATTTAACATTTATAATTAAAATTGGAATCCATTTGGACCGATTTACCGTTAAAGTGCCTGGTGCCAATGTAATTTTGTCCACAAATGTACGCTCTACGGGAATAATGATCCTGTTCTATAGAATCATTCAAATTTGATATATTATTTTTTTAAGCTATTAGAGGGTAATATTCTCAGGACGCATTGAAATCCGTTTTTGAAAATAACTTTATAATATGCTTAAAAAATAATACAGTTTAAGCTTTTTTTATTATACCGTAATTATAAATAAAATAAAAATCGGAGTAAAATACGGGGCCTATAGGAAGTCTTCTTCGTACGCAGATAAAAAAGTAGTTATTAAATTCCGACAGTTCAACAATGCCTAAGAATTATTCCTATGAAGTAATTGTTTTCAATATTGAATTATATTATACTAGCTGAATTACCCGTCGTTGGCGAGTTTATTTATTGTTGTGTAATATTAGTATATTATTGGGAAAGTATTATATTTAAGGTGGCAACTAAAATATAAAATATAATATTCAAATGTTATAGAACTTTGAAAATGTTGAAAAACAGGCACCGGCCCCTTAAAACAGTGAAACGGTAGTACTACGGAGATACTACTTGGAAGGGAAGTGTTATGTTTTATTAGTATGTTTTTATTATAAAATATATTTAATTTAATAACTAAGACTTTTTGATAAGTATCCGAATATTTCTAGTGGGCACCCGTAGGTATCTGCCATGCCCGACGCCTTAGTCCACTCGGCCACTCCGTCCCTCAATTTATAAATTATATTATGTAAACTTTCTGTATTGATAAAAAAAAACACATTTAAAGCACATTATATTAATCATTTTAAATATTTTATTATATATATTTTTGTAAAAATTAAAACCTCGAAATAAAATATCACGTTTCCTAATAATATTTTTACGATAAGGAAATAGGCTAGTATGAATCTACATATTATATTAAATACTTATATACAATAAATGAATATTTTAATATCAACAATTGTAACTATGTACTTAATTGTACCTACTGGTAAATAACGGATAGACGGGGTCAAGAGGGTAATAGTTGTTCTAAACTGTATATGCACATCAATTCCATTACAACGTGGGTTGCGTGTTTCGACTTGTTTTAATTTTTTCACTGTACAAATCATGACAAATTAGATAGGTATCATCACAGTTATACTAGTTTTGCTCAGTAGATACGCATCTCCTTCACCTCCGGCCTATATCGTAGTTCTCTACTTCTCATTGCTTGATTTTGTTCAATGTTATATAATATGTATGTATATGATTGACAGCCTATAAGAAGTGGATAACTACGATAAAGGCGAAGTAAAGAGCTGATGATGTGTATCAAAATACTGTGATGATACCTATCTAATTTGTCATGGTACAAATGAGGCGCTGAGCGCAAAAGTGGCCTAAACCACAAAAAACGAAAAATTGAAGTAACTGTACCAAGTTGTTCAAAATCGTGTAATTAATATTAAAGCAAAACCGGCTTATTTAATATCATTTTTTTTTTCTAGAGAGCAGCACTATTCTGTTGTTGCACCCACTCATTTTTGTTTTTATTATAATGCAACACTGGCCTATTTATAAGTCTAAATTTCAAATACCTATATAATTATTGTTATTTTAAAATTGTATATAAAGTTGATTAAAAGAGTTTAGTTGACATGACATGGTTGATTCTTTTATACAAATTTGACCTAAACCACATTTTATAATTATGAAGTGGTTATAAGAAAAATTCAAAAGTGACCTATCCAACATTAACTTAGGCAATTTTGACTTTTTTTTTTGGTTAAAAAACGCTGATGTAATCTACAGTGGATTTAAACATGAACCCCCCACCCCACAAAAAAAAAAATTAAAATTGTTCTCAGTGATACAAAATTAGTAAAACCATTACAGCTAATTTACTCGGAATGATGGTTGAGTCAAATGGCCACTTTTGAGCTCATCGCCTCAAACGTGCACAGCGATTGTGTGCATTATACTGCGCCACTATAATACATATAGGTACAGATATAGTAATTACCGGCGCGGATAACCGCCTTCCTGTTTAACCTTCGTAATAACCCAATCCAAATAGTATATTATTTTCATAATATTCTGAATTTATGTTTTTTATTATTAAAAATAATCTTAATAACACTATTAGAAATTAGTTGTATTTTTGATGATTTATGTTTTACATTTTTCTTGAGTTTGGGTAGGTATTGCACATGGACTTGTGCACATATACACGAGCCGCCGCTGATCTAGTGTCTACTTATATATATTAAATTAAATTCATACTTATTTTTTTTAAATTATCTGCTTCACAGTATTTAGAGTAAAATATTTAAAAATATTTAGAGTAAAATTTTGCTTTTCGTTTGTAAAAAAAGAAACTTTTATTGCCATAAGATACTTTTTACAAATGGTATACAAATCGTAAGTATTTGAAAAAATATTCAGGAAATAAGAATTTGAATAGATTTATAATCATACGAAAAAAATGTTGATAAGTATGTTCGGTCAAAAACTTATTATACGAAAAGTAAAAATGTTAAACTATAAAGTGTCTTACGTTAAATGGATCACCCTGTATATATAATATATATACGGAGATACCACATACAATTTCATCATTGTTTTTTTATACACGGTACCTATTATCAAATATGTAGGTATAATATAATATTAAAAAATTTAGCTCAGATATGATGTTAAACTACAGCTACCTATAGTAAATCTAATCTTTGGTTAGAATGACAAGAAATAAAATTGTTCCACTAAATTTCTCAAATTACACAAATAGTGGGGTACCTATCAATGTGGTTTCATACAAAGCGTCGCACGACGTTGTAGATAGCTGTCGGTTTCACGGTTCATTTGTCAAAAGTCAAAACATTAAGCCAACGGAAAAAAGCTACACACTGCAGATGCAAGATGATGAACATAAAATATTTTATAATATTCCTCGTCTTTTAAACTTCTGGTACTTGGAGTTCTTTGGAAAATGCTTCAACTTCTGACACGTGTGACAGGTAAAATAAATCTTAAATTATATTGCCGTTATCTTTTAATTCCGTTTACTGCGTTCATTTGGTATACAAATGGAAATTCGATGGTAAGAGACCAAATGTTGTAAATCACAAACGTAAACATTTTTCGTAAGTATTTAAAAATACAGATAAATTAATAAAAAATTGTATTATTTTAATTTTAAAATACTTCATTATCTACCTATTAATTATGAAAATAACAGATATTAAGGAAATATTAAATTAATAATTTATTCGGTTTTAATACTCCCTTTTGCCTAAGAATCATACATATATACTTGGGTTTATTAGTAAACTACATCTACATATCAAATTTTTATAATTTCAAAATATTTTTTGTATTATTACAGGTATAAACATCACCAAAACACAACCCCTTACAACTGAAAGTGAAAAAGAAAACTTTTATTCTGAGGTCAAAGCGGCTTAGGTATCTGGGTGGGACTTTTCGAATTGTTTTTTCATCCTCAATGGAACGAATGAAGGTAAATAACTTACTAGTTTTTATATTTATTATATATATTTGTAACGACGAAATATATAATTATTTTACATATATTGATGTAAATATGTAATATAATAATAATTACAATTGTCATATATAATCTAAATTTCAATATAATATGTAATAATATATTATACAATATATAATTCGATTTCGATTATAATATTAATATGTATCTAATATATACTACGTATTCGTAATATTAATTAGTAGTGTTCTTGTAACCATTACACAGACACTACACACACTACACACACACACTACACACACACACACACACACACACACACAC